ACGGCGGCGACGGCGGCTGCGACGGCGGCTGCGACGGCGGCTGCGACGGCGACGGCGACGGCGACGGCGACGGCAGTGGCGACGGCGACGACGGCGGCGACGGCGACCGCGACGGGCCGCCGCCAGGGCCAGCCCCACGTCGCCCAGCGCGCCCGCGAGGCTGGCTCTTGCGGCAGGCGCCGCCCGCGTCAGGGTTGCCTCGTCGGCGGCCTTGGCGGACGGCGCCTCGGTCGGAGGCGCCTCGTCGGGTTGCGCCTTGGGGGCGCCTCGTGGGAGGCGCCTCGTCGGAGGCCCTCGGGGTGCGCCGCCTCGTCGGAGGTGCCTCGCGGGAGGCGCCTCGAGAGGGCGAGAGGCGCCTCGGAGGAGACCCCGAGGCAGACGGCCCTCCAGAGGCGCCCCCGCGGGGGCCCCGGAGCGCCGCCCAGGTCCAGCCTAGAGAGGTCCCCCAAGGGGGCCACCAACCCCGAGAAGCGAACCGCGAGGCCGTCGTCGGGCGGGCGGCATTGGGGGGGGAACGAGCAATGACGTAAACATAAAACTCGGAGGTCCGCGCAGAGTTCTCGGATCTGCGCTGGACCGCCCTGGCGGCGCCTCCGGCGCCGCCCTTTGCGCGTTCCGCGCGCCGGTGAGGGGGGTCCAGCGCCGATCTGAAAAGTCCGCGCGGACCTCCGAGTTTTTATGGTTGTGTCATTGTTCGTTCCCTGCCGGATGGGGAAGGAGGGTGTGAGGAGGGAGGAGGATGAGCAGGAGAAGATGGAGGGAGGATCAGGCGATGGCCAGGAGGATGAGCTCAGAGGAGCAAGAATTATTGATCATGATGCGTTCCGAGATGTCCAGGACTTCCCGGAATATGAGATTTCTTGATGTTCCACACGGGCTGTAGAAATGAGGGCCGCCAGAGATGCTGGCACTATTTGAGCGTATCTTGAGCCGACTTGCATCATTCCATCATCATCATCGTTCTGTTAGTTAGCAGGAGATGGTGGAGATATGTTGAGGGTGGTTAGCAACATGATAATACGAAGGAGGAGGAGGAGGAGGAGGAGGAGGAGGAGGATAATTAGGTAGGATAGGGTGGGGGATGTAGCAACTAGGCCACCCAGGTTAGGTTGGAACAGATGAGGTCGAAAGATCGCGCCGTATCGCCGATGCATTGGGATGCGGCTCGATATGGAGTCCGATGCTCTCCACGCCGACGTCGCCGATGAATTGGCGATGCATCGCTGATACATCGCCGATGCGTCGCGATCCTACGGCACTATCTAGTCCGACCCCATCGGGGAGGCCTGCAGAGGAGGAGGAGGAGGAGGAGGAGGAGGAGGAGGAGGAGGAGGAGGGGAGGAGGGAGGAGGAGGGATGAGGAGAAAAGATGAGACAGAGGAGAAGGAGGAGGAGGGAGGAGGAGGAGGAGAGGAGCAGGAGGAGAGGAGGAGGAGGAGGAGGTGGAGGGGGAGGAGGGGAGGAAGAGAAGGCAGGAGGAGGAGGAGGAGGAGGAGGAGGAGGGTGGAGGGTGGAGGAGGGGGGGAGGAGGCGGGTGGAGGAGGAGGAAGAGGAGTAGGAGGAGGCCAGGAGCAGGAGGACGAGCAGGAGCAGGAGCAGGAGGCAGGCGCAGGAGCAGGAGGCGGAGGAGGGGGGACGAGGGAGGGTGAGTAGGAGTGGAGGAAAGGAAACAGGAGGAAGGAGGTGGAGGAGAAGGCCGAAGAGGAGGAGGACGACGATCACGACGACGTCGGCGACGACGACGACGACGACGGCCACCACGACGACCACGACGGCGTCGGCGACCAGGCTCCGTCCGCGGGCCTGGCGCCAGGCTCGCGGGCTCGCCGTTCGAGGGCCTCGAGCCCGCGGTGGCGCCCTGAGGGCGCGCCTTCCTACGCCCCCTCCTCCACCTCCGCCTCTCCTCCTCATCCTCCTCCTGCTCCTCCTCTCCTGCCCTGCTTCCTGCCCTCCTCCTCCTCTCCTCCTCCTCCTCTCCTCCTCCTGATCGTTCCCCCCTCCTCCTCCTCCTCCTCCTCCTCCTCTCCCTCCTCTCCTCCTCCTCCTCCTCCTCCTCCTCCTCCTCCTCCCCTCATCCCCCTCCCTCCACCTCCTCCTCTTCCTCCTTCTCCTCTCCCTATTTCTCCTCCTCCTCCGCCTCCACCTCCTCTTCCTCCTCCTGCTCCTCCTCCTCTTCCTCCTTCCTCTGCGCCTCCCCTCCTCCCTCCTCCTCGTCCCCCCTCCTCCTCCTCCTTCCTTCGCCTCCTCCTCATCCTCCTCCTCCTCTTCCTCCCCTCCACCTCCTGCTCCTCCTCCTCCTCCTCCCCCCTCCTCCCCCCCTCCTCCCTCGCTCCCGCCCTCCTCCCTCCTCCTCCCTCGTCTCCCCCCCCCGCTCCCCCTCCTTCCCTCCTAATCCTCCTCCCCCCCTCCTCCTCTCCCCCAGTTATCGACTCATCACTTAGTGATTGCCTCATCGCATATCATCTCATCTCTTCCCCTTCCTCCCTCCCCCCTCCTTCCTCCTTGCCACTCCTCCCCCCCTGCCCTCCTCCCATTATCCTTCCTCCCACATTCCTCCTCCTCTTCTCCCTGTCTGGAGCAGTGACGATGGGGCGGCGTCGTACGGGGCTCCCGTGGGGGAGCTGGCCGAAGCCCTCGGTGGTCCAGACCGTGGCGACGAGCGCCCTCCAGTCTGGAGGGGGCGCGGAAAAGTTGCCCCTCGCACGGCTCCCGTGAGGGAAGTGGCCGACGCCCTTGATGGTCGCGCGACACGACGGGTGATGAGGTGGTCTCGCTTCGGGTTGATAGGCAGGCAGTGTTGGGAACCATGACGTGCAGCAGCAATGCTTGGAGGACGGCGTGGAAGTGTTTGGAGGGGCCCGAGGATGGTCTGAGGGAAACTAAGTTTGACATAGACTTCGCCAGAGGCTTGTCTCACCTGCACGCAAACGGAGGCTCCACGGTCTTGGGCTTGGAATGTTCGGTGCTGGTCTTTCTTCGGCTCAGCTGTGTCCACAGAAGACTTCAAGAGTGCCGCGTCAGGAGGGGCGGCGATCCTGACTTCGGCGCGATGGGGTTCAGATCAGTAGCGGTACCAGGTTGTGGGTGAGGGAGTGATGGCGCGTCGCCTAGTGCTGTCCCCGCAGGTTCAGATTTTGTTGGTGTCTGCTTATGTCAGCTGTATTTCAATACTCAGACCGGCTCGGCAGGTGAGAATACAATTGTCCTTTCACAGCTGAGCAACCTTGCCTCGTCGTATTCCTTTCCCGCCCCCGTTACTGGCGACTGGAACATCTGGTGCGGAGACGCTCAGACACTTAGGTTGCTGCGGCCACCTGGCAGCCACCATCGCTCGTCCCAAACGTGCTACATACGACTACTGACTACCACGCTGCCAGAGGTTGCTTGGACTACCACGTCAAGAGTTGCGAGACTTGGGAGACTCTCCCACAGGACCAGACCAGGCGGTGTAGCTTGAGCTCTGGGGCGTGGCTGGCCAGGCCAAGGTCTGGAAACGGACTGTGCCCAAGTCGTTTCCCTTCTCCGTCCTGCTAGGAGTGATGGGTCTGTTCTCCACCACCACCACCACCATAAGTTGGAGGGGGGAAGGAGGAGGAGGAGGAGGACCCCCTCCCCCTCCAGCTTATGGTGGTGGTGGTGGAAAACAGGCCCATCAAGGCGGAGGGGGCGTTCAAGTGCTCCGACGGGGGCCCGTCTTGGGACTTCGATCTCTCGGCGACCCCCTGAGGGCGGCTGCCACGTGCTTCGAGGAGGCTGAGAGGTGTCAGATGAGGCTGCGCTCTCTTCCTCTCCATCTCTCTCTCTCTCTCTCTCTCTTTCTCTCTTCTCTCTCTCCTCTCTCCTCTCTCTCTTTCTCTCTCCCTCTCCCTCTCTCTCTGCCTCTCTCTCTCTCTGTCTATCCTCCAAGCCGCGCGTAGGCAGAGCGTCGGGGTGCGAGGTTCAGCTGGCCCCCCTTGGAGGCCGCCTGGAGCCAGGACCTGAACCGGAGAGGCTCGCCTGTCGCGCAGGGTCGGCTTTCGTTCGTATGTCTGCTGGTCTCTTCTTGCGGCGCGTGAAGCATTCGCTCGGCGCTGAAGCTTGGTATTGGCATGTTTCACGGGTCCCGTTTGGGGACCTGCGGACCACCGTGTCCCCCTGCTCGCCTTGTAGGCGCGCCCCCGCGGGCGATGGCAGCTGCGTTCTGCTGCGTTCTGCGTTCTGCATTCTGCGTTTCTTGCAGCGCATGACGGATAGAGGCGACATCCTCAGAGTGGTCAGCTGCCACGACCCCCTCTTCCCGTCGGCTCGGGAGGGAGGCTTGAGGAGTTTCACCGCGGCGACCCTCTTTCTGGGGATGCTAGTAGGGCCCCGAAGTGGCCGAGTTGGTCTACCGTCGGCAGTCGGAAGCTGTTCGCATGACCAGCGAGGAGGCGGCTGAAGGGGCGCCAAACATCGAAGCTTGAGCGCAGTCGTCGGGTCCCTGAGCCTGTCGACACCGCCCCTTTGCTTGGAGATCAATCGTTGCAGCAGACTTTGCAGAATTGGATGCCGATGTGACGCAAACGGAGGATAGCCGCATCACGGAGGCGTCCGTGGGCGTCTGGGAGCGCGGGGATCCTTCGCCGCCGATTTCGGTCGAGCAGGTGTTGGGGGCAGCCGAGACGCTTCCGCCTGCTAGGCGCGCGAGGCTCTTCCCGCAGCTTCCTGCGCCTTTGGCCCATGCGTCTGCCGACGTCCTCGCGGCGTGGGAGAGGGGCCCTGGCTCGGGTCCTCTGCCCCCTGTCGCTGTGGCGCTCCTGCCAAAAAGCCCACAGAGGCGAGGTCCCTCCACGGGCTTGCGTCTGGGGCTGCGTCGGGCACCTGCGTCGCGCGCCCTGGAGGAGGAGGAGGAGGAGGAGGAGGAGGAGGAGGAGGAGGAGGAGGAGGAGGAGGAGGAGGAGGAGGAGGAGGAGGAGGAGGAGGAGGAGGAGAGGGGAGAGGAGGAGGAGGAGGAGGAGGAGGAGGAGGAGACCGGGGGGCAGGAGACGGATGCTCGCTTCGTGATCTCGGGGCTGCGCACCTCGGCGGCGCGCAGCAAGAGCGCGTGGACTCACAGCGCGAGTGCGGCCGCCGCCCGTGAGTCTCCCGGGCTGGTTGCGGGCGCGTTGGTTACACGCCGGGCGTTGAAAGTAGGTATTCTCGGATTTCGGGAGCCTCGAGACGGGGGTCAGTGCAAACGGGGGTCAGCCAGGGCGCCGGATCCTGCAGGATCCTGCAAAGACCCCCTCTGGCTGACCCGGGTCAGGGAGCCGCTCGTGGCCGCGAGGCAGCCGCGCCTATTGGCTGACCCGGGTTTGCGAGGACCTGCGTTGCAGTTTTTTGCTCCCTGCATTGCAGTTTTTGGTTTCCTGCTGACCCGGGTCTGGATTGACCCGGGTCAGAAGATCCCCGATTCTCGGATTCCCAGAGCCCAATCTACTTCAAGCGCCTTCCTACTTCAAGAATCGACATGCTTTTGCTGTGTCTTGTGATTCTCTGGGAGAACCTGGACCCAATCTACTATATCCGCCTTCCTACTTCATGTTTCTACCTACTTCTTCCGACCGACGTGTAGTTATGGATCGCAGGGGGTTTGGCGAGCGCGTCAGCCACGCCGAGCTTCGGGCAGCCGCGGGGCAGGCGCGCTTTCCAGTTTCGCTCGCTCTGGCCCATTGCGCGGCGCGTCCTTCTCCGAGGCGCGCGTCGCTGCAATTGGCGATCCAGAGGGTCATCGCGCCGAGTGGCACCGTCGCAGCTGGTTGCCCAGGAGCCGCATCGCTCGCCCGGTCGCTGCTGGTCACCGCGCTTTGCAGGGCGCCCGCCCGCGCGCTGGCCGAGGCGGCGGCGCAGAACTCCCGCTCCAGAGTCGCGCAGAGCACGAAAGCCTGGAGCAGCGAGCGGGCGAGGGTCGGCGGCGATGCCGCGCCGAGACGGGCGAACAAGGGGCCAGAGGCCAGAGGCCAGCATTAAGTCCACGTCGCCAGCGGCGGGCGCGCCGTTGGGGGGGCTGCGGCCCTCGGGCCTCGGGGGCCGAGGCCCCCGGGGCCCCGTGTCTTTGCTTGTGGGGCTGCGGGGCGCCGCCCCCCGGCCTGCGCTCGTCGGGCTGTCTCCGGGCTCCGGGCCTGCGCGAGCCGGGCGACCGCAGGCGCGGATCAATGGGGGCGCGGATGACAGTCGCTGGTCGACGCGCACAGCAGGGCTGTCTCCCAGGCGGTGTTCCGGCGATGTCGTGGGCCGTGTTCGTTTCGGTGTCGCTCTGCTGCAGAGGCGGATCGCAGAGAGAGAACGAGGGAAGACGAGAGCCAAACGAGAGCGAAAGACGCACACCGTTCAGGTTCAGCCCTGCCGCACAGTTAGGATGGGGGCAGCCTTCCCAAGGGTACCCTTGCATCCTCGCCTCCCTCGCTATCTTCCTCCATCCCCCATCCCCCATCCTCCCCCCTCCTCCTCCTCCTCCTCCTCCTCCTCCTCCTCCTCCTCCTCCTCCTCCGCCTCCTCCTCCTCCTCTTTCTCCTCCTCCTCCTCCTCCTCCTCCTCCTCCTCCTCCTCCGCCTCCTCCTCCTCCTCCTCCTCGGCCCACCCCGGGCCACTTTCGTCGGCCGCGCCCCGCTGGAAACGCTTCGAGGTGGGTGCCCGAGGGCCCTGCGTCCTTCCTGCGCGTCCTTCGGGTGCGGGCCGACTCTGGCGGCGGGCCGCGCTTCCAGGGGAACGCGAGGATCCTTTTATGTTTCTCCTCTCTCTCCTCGTTCCTCCCCCTCTATCTTCCTCCATCCCCCATCCTCCATCCCCCCCCCCTCCTCCTCCTCCTCCTCCTACTCCTCCTCCTCCTACTCCTCCTCCTTTCTCCCTCGGCCCGCCCCCCAACCCCCTCCGAATTGGCGACCGCTCGCCAGATCCATGGATCGCTAACAGGCGGGCCCGTATCAGTAGGTCGACCCTGCCAGATCAAGGGCACCCTCGCGTCCCGTGCCTCGCGACCCGTGCCTCCTGCACGTCTGTGGCAACGTGGCCATCGGCAGGGTCACGTGCCCTCTCCCGTGTCCTGGCCAATGAAGTCCGACTGTAGTCCACGTCTGCGCGCCCCCGACTGAGGGCGGGGCCCGCGAGCTTTCAGGAGGGGAAAAAGCACACAGACACAATTAATCGTCGGGAAGTGGGGGGGAAGACAGAAGCCCAGAAAATATGGGAAAATATGGGGAGGCGATGGGGAGAGGAGGAGGAGGAGGAGGAGGAGGAGGAGGAGGAGGAGGACCAGTGCGAATCCAAGACTCGTCAACGATGTTGGAGTACACCCTTCTTCCAAGCTTCCTAGGCCCCACAAGGATTCAGTTCCACTGGAGGAGTGCCCCGTTGGGAGGCAAGATTTCGAAAATCCTGAAGTGTGCCTTCTCAGGACTTCAACGCCACGAGTCAATGATTGTTGCGACTTGACGATTCTGAATCGTGCAAGAACATCGTTCTTGGGACTCCAACACCGCTGATCAGCGTAACTATTGAGCCCTGACAGTTTTGAACCCGTCAAACGCATCATTGCTTGTATACTGACCATGAGAATCCGTGAAACAGCTGTAAATGTTTGTAGCGAATGCGCGCAGCCCTAAGGCGAGAGCCACATTGTGAGACGTAACCGCCCTCGATCCGTGAAACTTGTGCGTAACCAAAAAAACGAATGCGTGCGGCGCTCAGGCGAGAGCCACATTTACAAAACGAACCTCCCTCCACCCGTGAATCGCTTGCAACTATTTAAAACGAATTTGCGCGGCGCTAGGGCGAGAACGACATTTTGAAAACCGCCTGCCCTCAACCCGTGAAGCTCTAACAAATGTTAAAGACAAATGTGCGCGGCGCTAAGGCGAGAGTCACAATTTGAAAACCATCGGTCCTCAATCCTCGAAGCTCTTGCAAGTTGTAAGTCGAATGCGCGCGGCGCTAAGGCGAGAGCCACATTTTGAAAACCACCCGCCCTCCATTTGTGCAGCTGTTGCAGCTTCTAAGCTTCGGTTTCATAAGTGGTAAGGAAGTCTCAGAAGAAACGTCCCGCCCGCCCTTCTGACTTGTGTCGGGGCGCGACAGGGAGGAGTCATTCGTAAGGAAAAGGAATGGAGGGAGGAGGAGGGGAGGGTTCTCGAAACAGAAAGGGGAGATGGAGAAACAAGGGTACAGGTGGCGAGGAAGATGGGTGTGAGGAATACTATGCGGAAAACTGGAGGGGGGAGGAGGAGGAGGAGGAGGAGGAGGAGGAGGAGGAGGAGGAGGAGGAGAGGAGAGGAGGAGGGGGGGGGACGAGGAGGAGGAGGAGGAGGCGGAGGCGGAGGAGGAGGAGGAGGAGGAGGAGGAGGAGGACGAGGAGTTGACTGAGAAGTTGACTGAGGAGGTGGAGGAGGAGGAGGAGGAGGAGGAGGACGATGAGTTCTGGATAGATCAGGAAATCGGTGACGAGGGACAGGGAGGAGGAGGGGGAGACGCATGTTCCGATGGGGCCCGCCCCCCTGGGCGTCCGCGGCTGCGTCGTCATCGTCCTCCTCGTCCGTACTAGTTAGCATCTATCCTCATCCTCCTCGGCGACATTCTCCCCGTCGCCATCGTCATGCCCCCTTCCCCTTGTCCTCCTTCCCGCCTGCCTCTTCATCCTCCCTTTTCCTGCACCACCCCCACCCCCTCAACCCTCCTTCCTCTCTCTCCTCCACAGTCACACCATATGAATACTACTTTCCTCTCTCCCCCGAAGACGCCGGTGAGGTGTTCTGGCCTCCTCCTCGTATTATTCTTCGCACAGGATGTCGCCGAGTTGATGATTAACCCGTGTTTTACAAACCGAGCGTTTTCAGTCCTTCTAGAATGGCGCTCACGCTACAGCGTTGGCTTCATTTTCCCGTTCTCAGTCCTCTCAAATCATGTTCCCGCTGCAGCGCTGACCTTATTTCATTGTGTCGGTTCTTCCAGATCGTGGTCTTGCTGCAGCGTTGGTTTCGTTTCCGCGCTTCCAGTCCTTCCAAATCGTGTTCCTACTGCATCGCTGGTCTCATTTCCGCGACTTCGGTCCTTCAAAATCGTGCTCCCGCTGTAGTGCTGATCTCATTTTGCGCTTCCCGCTTTCCGAACAGTCCATTTGCATTTGCCGTCCTGTGTCATTTCTGGTTTCCCTCTGACCTTGTTGTCGAAATGAGTCGCGTTCTCGACGCGATGGCACGCTATGCCGTGCTATACAATGCATCGCGTACTCTTTCGGGATCATTATCCTGTTCGACATCGGGCTCTGCGAATAGAGAGGAGGTCCACGCAATGGGTAGGGATTAGACGGAGGGCTAGGACGTCAGATATGACGCCAACGCACCTAGCTTGCCCCTCGCCCCTCTCCTCCTCCTCCTCCTCCTCCTCCTCCTCCTCCTCCTCCTCCTCCTCCTCCTCCTCCTCCTCCTCCTCCTCCGCCTTCTCCTCCTCCTCCGCCTTCGCCTCCGCCTTATCCTCCTTTTCCTCCTCCTCCTCCTCCTCACCCCCATCCTCATCCACATCCTCACCGTTATTCTCTTCCTCCTTCCTTCTATTCGCTGGAGGCCCGCCAAGGGCTCGGGAGAGCAATCTCTGCCTGCCTCGAGCGCGCGTGCGCGCGCTCGCCAGACTGCGAGCTGGGCCGCAGCGGGAAAACACGTAAAGCGGGGACTTCGAGGCTCAATAGATGGGGGTCAATGCAAACGGGGGTCAGTCAGACATGGCATCGCTCGGTCGTGTGCATTTTTCTTTCGGCGAGGGCCATCGAGGAGCATCCTTGATCATTTGGCGAAAAAACCAAGCACGACACCGAAAAAAACACAGGGAATGGACGTCCGAGCGATGGCGAGTCAGAGCGCCGGATATTGCAGGATCTTGCAGAGCCACGGTCGTATTGACCCGGGTGTGGGTGCAGGATCTTGCAGCATTGTTGCAACCACACGCAGCAGCCACATCAGGTGCATCCTCAGCAGTAAGTTTGAAACAGCATCACAACCACATGAGCAGCAACTGCGACATGAGCAGCAACCACGTCAGCAATGCCGGCAACTTTTCGGATAACTCGATTCTTATTGCCAGGCAGTAACCCTTTCTGCTGAGCCAATTCTGGGAATCACTCTCGCGCACGCATCCTGCGTTGCCGCGCGCCGCGTCAAAAGCCCACGCGTCCTCCTTCCTTTCGAGCCCCCCCTTCCTCCCGCCTCCCCCCTCCGTCTTCTCCCCGCCTCACCCATCTTTATCTCACCCTGCGCCCCTCCTCCTGCATCTTCCCCCTCTTTCCCCGCACCCGCCTTCCCCGTCAGCCATTCCCCTTCCCTGCTTGTTCCGCAGTCGTACCGAACTGGTGTAATTCTGAAGCAGCACGTGATGCTATGCAATAGGACCGCGTATGAAATACGCGTGTGCTAAATGATTTAGCACACGCCATGTTTAACGTCATTATAACTAGATGGTTGTACATACTTTGGTACACGATATAGTTTGCGAGGTTGTCGAACTAGCATCTCGACCAACTATGCGGCGTGATATTCTGGATGTTTCACCAAATGCGGGATCTTGGAACAGGTTTTAGCAAGCGTTCAGAGGTAGACAGGAAACCATCACATCAGGCATTGCAGCGTGACGGTTTCCTTTCCTTTGGGGGGCCTTTTGGAGCTCTCCGGCGTCATAGGGGGCCTCTAGGCCCGTATTGAGGCTTTTTGGACCGTTTTCGCGGCCTCTTGGAGCCCGCATCGGCGATGCGGGCTCCAAGAGGGCCCCAACGCAGGCGATGCGGCATCGCCTGCGTTGGGGCCCTCTCGGCTTTGAAAGAGGCACCACATCCCAAGAGCGCCCGAGAGCGCCGGAACTCCGCGATGGAGGCCCTTTGATCGAGTATCCTTATGTTATTCTTCACACTTCGCGTATCCCCACCAACTTCTCTTGCCGCCTGCGCTCTTCGCTGGTGGCCGCGACCAAAAAAGTATCCCCACCAGTGCGCTTCTGCGCGCTCGGGGCTTAATTTAGATCGTGGCTTGCTGCTTCGCTCTGACTGCGCCTGGCACACCTGCGCGCTCGCGAACAAACAGTATCCCCACCAGTTGGTCTCGCCTCTAGGATGCCCGCACGCTGGCCGCCTGGCTCTCCTGGCAGCTTTCGCAGCCTGCCTTTAGCCCCCGGCGCCCCTCAGCCTCCCTCGGCGGCAGCCTCGGCAGCCGTGAGTGCGCTCGCTGGGTAATTAGGGTTCGCCCGTAGCCAGTGTTGACCTCTGACGCCGCCTGCGCCTTCGTTTGCGGTTGCGACGAAAAGTATCCCCACCAGCCCAGTCAGAAGCCCTGCCCACGAGAGCTGACGGGAAAAGGGACGCAGGGACACATCTAGGGAAACAAAGCGAGCAACCAGGATTAACCGAGAGATCTCTGGGAGCAAGGGGCTGGCCTTGGAAGGCCTCTTCGGGCCATCCCTGGGGGCCGCGTAGGGGCGAGGGGAAGAGGAGGAGGAAGAGGAGGAGGAGGTGGAGGGATCCAAAGAGTGTGATCCCTGGTGGTGCTGCTGCTGGTGGTCCTGCTGATGTTCTTGCTGCCTCTGCTGGTGCTGCGGCTGGTGCCCTGGAAGGCCTGTTGGGGCCATCTAGGAGAGCATCAATCAAAAGATGAGGGGTCCTCGATTTCCGACCCCTCCCAGGAGCCCTCAAGATCGCCTCTTGGAGCCCTCCTGGGGCTCTTTGGGAGGGTTTTGGAGCTCTCTTGGGGCTCTTTTAGAGGTCTTGGGGCCCTCTTGGGGCTATCTTGGGGCCCTCTTGGGAGCCCTGGAAGGCCTCTTCTTTGTGCCATCTTGAAGGCCATCGATCAGAGGAGATGGTATAACGTTCAGTACCCCCCTCCCCAAAGAGGCCAACATGGGGCCAAAACCTTAGTGAAACCAATGATTTTGGCGCCCAGAGGGCTGGTGGGGTAACGTTCAGCCCCCCCCCAAAGAGGCCAACATGCGGCCAAAACCATGGTACAACCAATGATCTTGGCGCCCATAGGGCTGGTGGGGTAACGTTCAGCCCTCCCCAAGGATGCCAACATGGATCCAAAATCTTAGTATATCCAATGGTTTGGGCTCCCAGAGGGCTGGTGGGATAACATGCGCCCCCCCCCCAAAGAGGCCAACGTGGGGCTTGGCTTCCTCGCCGAGGCCGTTTTGGACGCCCTGACACCGCGCGAAACCCCACAAAACAGTCCAGGGGAGGGGTAAGGGGAGGGGTAAACCACTCCCCGTAGGGGAAGAGGGTTTTTTTTTTTGAAAGAGGGAAGGGGGATCTCGTCAGACCACCTGCGCCCAGAGGGCTGGTGGGATTAGAGAAGGCCCCAAGGAGCGTGGTGACAACACCGTGTGGTGAGTCAGTGGGGGATCGGGGTCACCAGGCGGTTTCGGGGCTTGGGTCGTTCTCCGAGGATGTCTCGGGTGGCTGGGGCCCCCAGAATTCGAATCACCGTGTGGTGACGCGCCGTGTGGGGAAGTCTCTGGGGATTTAGAGGTCACCTCGCGGTCTGTCACCGCACAGTTTTGAGGCACCAGACCTATACAGGGCTCTAAGGGATTCCATCTCGTGCTTCCTGGTACGGTGCCGGATTTACATGTCTCCAGGGGGAAGGCAGTCAGATAGACATATGCTCGACATATTTTTGGAGATTGGGCCGACATCTACAGTGGCATGTTTTTTTTGTTTTTGGTCAGAGCAAATGCATTACAATAGGAGCACATTCGACAGCGCAGCAAACGAGCTCGATGTCGACATCGAGTGAATTATTCCTCCGAGCACGGGATCGGCACCTAAACAGACAAATGTCAGAGATGCTTCCGAGCCAGAGATATGCATATGTACATACATGTAAAGACACTTGTTGTACATGTTCCGAGCGGGAGATGGACATCTATGTATACACCGGGTAGACAGTTCACCTCGAGCCGGGAAAAGCAAGCCCAAATTCTCAAGGACGGTTGCGCAACCAGGGGTGGATATTTGTGGACATCCGAACCGAGAGTTGATTGGATTTTTAATTTCGAACATCTACGTTCTGCCCTGATCCTCGCTTCTCCCGTGTTTTGTTTCATAGTTATTGACCACATGAGTTTGGAGCTGATGAGGAGCGGGCATTCGACTGGGCCGATGTATCCACCTCTGCCTGCCTTTTGAAAATTGCATGCCTTGATGCGCTGCGACATCGAGTCTCCGCAGAGAGCAGGTGTGGCCTTGTGTTCTTGTGTGGTGTGCGGTGTTTAATGTGAGGACCGTAGGCCAGGCCAGCTACTTTTGGAGGAGCGCACGAGACACCTTAGATCGCCTCAGGTGAACTCTCAGCTGGCGCGTGTCAGAGCTGGCAAGCACCCCCACAGTCTGGCTACCACCAAGAACCTTGTCTTGAGTGGCTCCCGAGGCTCTTCACCGAGGCCGAGGGGGACTTCATGACAGTTCGGGTCCTGACCTCCGCCCGAGGCGCCTGTCTACAGGCGTGAGGCGCCAGTCTGAAGGCCGAACGCCAGGAGCACCTCTCGCGGGACACAAGTTGTGTCCCGCGAGGAGGTGCTCCTGGCGTTCGGCCTCGGGGAGGGCGACCTGGAGCACGTCGGGTCCCTCGGCGGGGCCGCCAGGAAGAACTCTCAGGGCCATGGGGATTTCTCCTTGGATTCTGAGGGCGAGGGAGACGTTTTCAACGTTTCCGCCTGCATTCATGTCGCTACACAGCAGTTGACCACCCGGGTGGAATCGATCTGAAGAGCGCTGAACGATTCTTTTTATCGGAAGGATCGGGGGCAAACGCGAGGCCCAGCATCGCAATGATTTCGCAACGCTTTGTATACATTCTCATAACAGGTTGAATGGCGTTGCTTCTTCTCGGGACGCTGCGCGATTCTCCCGCGGCTGAAGGGACTGCACGCGAACGCGTTGAGCCACTATTTTGTCAATTCGCAAGGACGGAGAGCCCGCGCTCGCAAGAAACAAACCGGTCGACGCGTCGTCCAAACTGCAAACGCGTTTTTGGCGAACCTGGCGGCTGGCACAGCCGCGACGTTGGACCAGCCAGAGGGTTGCAACCTCGAGAGGCGACCGGCCAGACCAGTGCGCACGCACGACTGCGCCACGTTTTGGGCGTTTCGCAAAATAGCCACCCTGAGGAGCACGAGCGCTCGTGATTTGGACATGGCGCGGCAGAGCTCGCTCGGCTTACGCATTGCAACAACGATCGTGTGGCAGCGAAGCCAGCGACGCACTCTTGCATTGCAGCCGATTGAGGCACAATGCAAAGCAATCGCCGCTAGCGGTTTCACCTTCCAGAAACCCGCGGCTTCGACCCAGTCCAGCCCTTGGGGACGACCTAGCTCAAACTGTGCATGTGCGCCCCATTCCCTCCTTTCTCTTTTGCAATAATAATGATTCCGAACCTGCGGTTCAAGACGCAAGTGCCCCCGGGCGTTTCGTTTGCGGGCCTCCCGACCTTTCTGTTGAGGTCCCGTCTGCGCTTTTGAAATTCAAGTGCATGTTTGGTTTTGCAAGTGCTTCTGACTCTGGCAGACAAAGTAGTGAGGAGCAGCCGCTTGTGCCCTGGAGCTCCGCCGCCAGCGCGGAGTGTGCTTCATGCAATTGAGCCGGGAGGCACGTGACGTTTCGACGTTCGCAGTGCTGGCGCCAAGAGGGGGGGGGGGGGGAACTGGGTGGGACGCGCGGTGTCGGAAGTGGAGGGTGAAGGGATACGAGTGATGGAAGAGGTTTCGCGGATACACCTTAGGCGATGCTTAAGAAAACCCAAGTTTTCGGCCAGAGTCTCGATTTTTCTTAACGTTTCAATGTGAATCTTAAGATTTCAATGGAAATGTTGGGTTTTTATTCAAGTTCTGAGACTATGAATTTCTTAACCCATAATTTCTTAAGCATTTCGCAGGGTGTACGAGTGATGGAAGAGGTTTCGCGGATAGGGTGGACGAAGGACACTGGCAACCAGGAGGCGGGAGGAGAGCCGTGAGGGAGGCACGGGCACAGGGGGGAGGACGGGGGAGGCGAAGCGTGGGGAAAACAGGGGTGGGAACGCGGAGGAGGATGAGTTGGAGGGGGCGCCAGGGGGATCGATGCCAGTTATCGCTGCGTGTCGCGGCTCGAGCGCACCAGGCGCAGGGGCCAGAGGGGACGGGAAAGCGGGACGGGGGAGGTGGAACGCGAGGGGAGGACGACGAGGTGGTGGAGGGGGAGGGGGGAGAGGAAATGAGGGGGAACAAAAACAAACAAATGGAGCGGGGGAGGGGAGAAAAGGGAGGGGCAGCGGAGTCTGCGCGACGGTCTTCCTTTGGCTCCGAAGCCGCGTCTCGAGAAGGACCGCCCAGACACCGCGGCAGCTCGGTAGGGCACTCCCAGGCGAGACGCCACGCCGGCCCCTGCAGCTGCCGCTGGCCGCTTCGCTTCCCTGCCGCTGCCGTTGCCGCCGCCGCCGCTGCTGCCGCTGGGCGCCGCTGCTGCCGCTGTTGCCGCCGCCGCCGCCCGCCGCCGCCGATGCCGCTGCTGCTGCTACCGCTCCGCCGCCGCCGCTGTTGCTACCGCTGTCGGTGCTGATGACCCCCGTGCCCTTGCCCCTCGAGGTCCGAGGTTCGAGGACCGGTTCGTTGGTGAAGCGGTTGCCATCTGCAGGCGTGGCTGGCGATGCCGTCTTGCGTTGGTGCGGGACTCGCGTGGAAATGCCCCCAAACTCATCATTTGGGGCGCGCCCCTGTGGTGGCCAATGCGATCCTCGCCTTTCGAGCGGGCGCCCGCTCTAGTGACAAGTAGCTATTTGTGTTGGCTAATGGGAACATTTCGCACGCTTCGTGGCCCCATACGGAGCCCCACCGAAGACCCAGTGGCAGCGGTTCGCGTAGCGTCCCGCCGCGCGTTGCTTCACACCCTCACGCGTTTCGTGGCCCAATGCGGAGCCCCACCGAAGGCCCCACTGGCAGGGTTCACTTGGCATCCTTCTGCACATCTCGGCACACCCCTCACACGTTTTGAGACCTTACGCGGAGCTCCACCGTAGGCCCCAGTGGCAGGGGTCGCATAGCGTCCCCTCGCGCGTTTCGGCACACCCCTCACACGCTTCGTGACCGCATTGGGGGCTCCACAGAAGATCCCAGTGGCAGGGTTCGCATCGTGTCTCCCGCAAACTTCGGCACACTCTTCACACATTTAGTTGGTATTGCCCCAGTCTCTACACCTTTTGCCGCGCGTTGCCTATGAGGAGAGGGTCATATCGTGCGCTGCTTGCAGCTGCATAGGGTTGGGTTGGTTCTAGTGTATATATAGATATTTGTTTATATGTACAGAGATCTATCAATCAGAGTGAGGGGGCCGAACGGTCATTCATTGTCCCTGGGTGCGTGGCTGAAGTGGGGATCCGTGGTGAAGATTCTGCTTGTTGCGTTGTTGTGTTTTTGCGTTGTTGTTCTTCGTTGTCGTCGTCACACCCGCCACCCACCCGCGACCCACCCCGCGACCCACCCCGCGACCCACCCCGCGACCCACCCCACGACACACCCCGCGACACCCCCCGCGACCCACCCGCGACCCACCCCGCGACCCACCCGCGACCCACCCGCCGACCCACCCGCGACCCACCCGCGACCCACCCGCGACTCACCTCGCGACTTACCCGCGACGCACCCCGCGACCCACCCCGCGACCAACCCGCGACACACCCGCGACCCACCCAGCGACCCACCTGCGACCCACCCGCGACCCAGCCGCGACCCAGCCGTGACCTACCCACATTGTTTTGACGAATAAATCGGCGCCTGCAGCGGGCTCGTTGCATAATTTGTGAAACTTTGGCACTTGCGGCGGGCTTCTCAAGAGTCTCGCAGGCTGCCGACGTCCCCACCGCCCCCTCACTTTTACCCGCATCTACGGGGTGCTACGTATATGTATACATAGATGCATGCATGCATGCATGCATACATACATACATACATACCCTCATACATACCACATGTACATCCTCTCCCTTCCGTCCATGTTTTCTACTCCTCGTCCTTATCCTCTCCTGGCCCCGCGCCCCCTTTCTCATCCTACCGTCCTCGTCGTTTTTCCTTCTCCTGCTCCTTCACTCCACGTGTTCATTCTCCCCTCCACCTCCCCCAATTCTCCTGCATATCCTCCCCACTCTCCCTTCGGGAGCGACCCAAACATCACGTTTTCGTGAATTCGCAGCAGCGACAATTCGCACCGCATTCGAAGGCAGACGTGGGGTGCACGTGGTCGAATTGGGCACAGCGGGCGGCGGGAGGAGGTCCCCCAAAAACAGTGCCCACGACCGGCGACGAAGGCGACGGTCTTGACGACCGCGACGGCGCCACGACGGCGACGGCCACCGCGGGCACGGCCACGGCGCCACGACGGCGACGGCGGCCTACGACGGCGGCGACGGCGGCGGCGACGGCCTCGACGACGGCGACGACGACGGCGACCTCCCGCGGAAGGCTCGCGGCCATGGCCTCGGCCTCAGCGCGCGCGCGCGCCGCGCCCGCCCCCGAGGAGGCGGGGCGCCGAGCGAGCCCCCGCCGAGGCGGGCGAGGAGGGGGAGGAGGAGGAGGAGGAGGAGGAGGAGACGAGGAGGAGGAGGAGGAGGAGGACGGGGCCTAAGATCAGGCGACTGCAAGCACAGATCCAGGGGGGCGGTGGATAAGTGGCGGGCCCCGTTGCCATGGGACGTCTCGAATTTTCCCGCCTCCCGAGCGAGGCAGCGCCGGCCGCATTCTGGGGAGGGCACCTCCCCCGATCCGTGGA